GATAGAATAAAACAGCACAGACTGTAGAACTCCATAGAATAAAACAGCACAGTCTGTAGAATTCTATAGAATAAAACAGCACAGTCTGTAGAATCCCATAGAATAAATCAACACAGTCTGTAGAACCCATAGAATAAAACAGCACAGCCTGTTGAACTCGATAGAATAAAACAGCACAGACTGTATACTCCCGTAGAATAAAACAGCACAGACTGTCCAATTCCATAGAATAAAACAGCACAGTCTGTAGAATTCCACTGAATAAAACAGCACAGGCTGTCCAATTCCATAGAATAAAACAGCACAGTCTGTAGAATTCCATAGAATAAAACAGCACAGACTATAGAATTCCATAGAATAAAACAGCACAGACTGTCCAATTCCATAGAATAAAATAGCACAATCTGTAGAATTCCACTGAATAAAACAGCACAGGCTGTCCAATTCCATAGAATAAAACAGCACAGACTATAGATTTCCACAGAATAAAACAGCACAGGCTGTCCAATTCCATAGAATAAAACAGCACAGCCTGTAGAATCCCATAGAATAAAACAGCACAGACTGTAGAATTCCATAGAATAAAACAGCACAGTCTGTAGAATTCCATAGAATAAAACAGCACAGCCTGTATAACTCCATAGAATAAAACAGCACAGACTATAGAATTCCATAGAATAAAACAGCACAGACTGTCCAATTTCATAGAATAAAACAGCACAGTCTGTAGAATTCCATTGAATAAAACAACACAGACTGTAGAATCCCATAGAATAAAAACAGCACAGACTATAGAATTCCATAGAATAAAACAGCACAGTCTGTAGAATTCCATTGAATAAAACAGCACAGTCTGTAGAATTCCATTGAATAAAACAACACAGACTATAGAATTCCATAGAATAAAACAGCACAGTCTGTAGAATTCCATTGAATAAAACAGCACAGACTGTCCAATTCCATAGAATATACAACAGCACAGACTGTAGGATTCCATAGAATAAAACAACACAGACTGTAGAATCCCATAGAATAAAACAGCACAGACTATAGAATTCCATAGAATAAAAAAGCCCAGTCTGTAGAACTCCATAGAATAAAACAGCACAGTCTGTAGAATCCCATAGAATAAAACAGCACAGCCTGTTGAACTCGATAGAATAAAACAGCACAGACTATACTCCCATAGTATACTCCCATAGAATAAAAACAGCACAGACTGTATACTCCCATAGAATAAAAACAGCACAGACTGTAGAACTCCACAGAATAAAACAGCACAGGCACGCTGGTTGATGTCACTGGACCGCTGCCTGCCTTGGCCACCCTGCCAGCAACTTTGCTGGCATCTCCCTTCCACCTGATGGGGGGGGTTTTTTTCTCAGATCTAAGAATAGGTAGCCCCTCCCCCAGCCTTCATCAAACCGCAGGTCCCCCCTTCTGAATGGAATCAGCCATGGCAACTGATTTTTTTTTTTTTTCCCAGTGTGAAAGCTGCGAGCCGCCATCCATCATCATCCTCGTCTTTATTATCATCCTCATCATCATCATCCTCATCTTTATTATCATCATTATCCTCATCATCATCCTCATCTTTATTATCATCCTCATCTTTATCATCATCCTCATCATCATTGTCATCATCATCCTCATCTTTATTATCATCCTCATTCTCATCATCATCCTCCTCATTTGCCCTTTTTGTTGTTTCCTCTCCGGTGTTGGATGGTTTGCAGTGCTGACCCCTCCGTGTGTCTCGGCCCCCTCCCCCCATACATACATGTGTTATGTAACCCCCGGCATATTGCGCACATCGCTCCACAGACATAAGCTGAGCAGATTTTGCAGCTTATTTGCTGCTGGTAATCTGTGTCGGAGTCTCCTTTCGCTGCGTTGCAGCTTTGCACACATGGCTGTCTCCGGCCATTTCTCCGCGGCTTCTCTATGTGCCTGGCCATGGGTCATGCCTACATTTGCGGCCGGCATGATCTCCATACATTGTAGCAGATGACAGAGAACAAAGGACACATTGTCACATTGTAGCCGTGACGCCCCGATCTCTCACTCCACATCCGGATCACAGGCCTGTTTTTACATTTTTTTTTTTCATTTTCCTAAGTACCCTTCCCTTGCAGCCCTCCCCCACTAACCCCCCTCCCCCCCCCTTTGGTTTTACACACACAGGAACATCCCCTCACGATGCCCAGGGAAAAATAAGACCGGTTGCCATGGTTTTTGATGGAATTTTAATTTTGCAGTCCTTGCAGCCGTGACGACCAGAAAGATGCTACTATTGGACAACCTTACATGGAAACCTAAAGATATCTTTCCCTCTCCGTCTTTCATCCCCCCCCCCCTTTTTTTTTTTTTTTTTTTTTTCATTGCTTTTTGCCAGTCACAAAAGACATAAAAATCCAAAATCTGGAGGACAATATGAGGGAAACCAAGTCCCCAGCAATGTTTAGATGTGCGTTTTTTTATGCGGGTGCATTTCAATTTCTTTTTTTTTTTTTTTATAATTATTATTTTTTTAATAATAAATAGTAATAAAATAATAATGATAAATGCACATATTATTATAATATTAATTAAAAAACCATTTTATTGTTATAATTTTTTTTATTATTTATTTTATGGTCATCTTTATTATTATTAAATAGGTATATTATTAATAATAATAAATATTTTTTTTTATTTGTGTTATTATTGTTATTTATTATCAATAAATAGGCATATTATTATTATTATTATTATTATTATTATTAATAATAATAAAAGTATTATTGCATTTTTTTTTATTTTATTATTATTATTAATGAATAATAATAATTTAATAATAATAAATGCACATATTTATTATTGCTACTATTACTAAATAACAATAAAAAAAAATTTATTATTGTTTATGGTCATCATTATTATTATTAATTATAGGTATATTATTTAAATTAATAATAAATAAGCATTTTATTTGTATTATTATTGCTATTATATTAATAAATAGTATATTCTTATTATTATTATTATTTTTATTATTAATATTTTCTTATGAATAATAAATAAAAAGAAGAAGAATGATAATAATAATAATAATAATTAATAATAATAATATTAAATGCACATATTATTATTACTATCTTATTAAATAACAATTGTTATTGTTTATAATTTTTTTAATTAATATTTGTTATGGTCATCATTATTATTATTAAATATAATTATTTTATTACTAATCATAAATAAACATTTTATTTTATTATTATTTATTTTATTATTATTAAAAAATAAATAGGCATATATTTTTTAATTATTATTATTTTTATTATTAATATTATTATGAATAATAATAATAAAATAATAAGAATGATAATAATATATAATAATAATAATAAATGCACATATTATTATTACTAGTATTATTAAATAACAATTGTTAATGTTATAAATTTTTTTATATTATTATATTGTTATGGTCATCATTATTATTATTAAATAGGTATATTATTACTAATAATAAATAAGCATTTTTTATTTGTATTATTATTGTTATCATTATTATTAATAAATAGGCATATTATTATATTTATTTATATTTTTTATTTTTTATTATTAATATTATTTATGAATAATAATAATAACAATAATAAGAATGATAATAATAATAATATAATAAATAATAATAATTTGCACATATTATTATTACTACTATTATTAAATAACAATTGTTATTGTTATAATTTTTTTTATTATTATTGTTATGGTCATCATTATTATTATTAAATCGGTATATTATTACTAATAATAAATAAGCTTTTTATTTGTATTATTATTGTTATCATTATTATTAATAAAAGTATTATTGCATTATTTTTATTATTAATATTATTATGAATAATAATAATAATAATAATAATAATAATAAATACACATATTATTATTGCTACTATTATTAAATAACAATTGTGATAAAAAAAAATAATAATTTTTTTTATTATTATTGTTATGGTCATCATTATTATTATTAAATAGGTATATTATTAATAATAATAAATAAAAGCATTTTATTTTTTTATTATTATTGTTATCATTATTATTAATAAATAGGCATATTATTATTATAATATTATTATTATTATTATAAAAATTATTATTAAAAGTATTATTGCTTTATTTTTATTAATTAATATTATTATGAATAATAATAATAAATAACATATTATTAAACTATTATAAAATAACCATTGTTATTCTTAAAAAATTTTTTTATTATTAAATATGGTCATCATTATTATTAAATAGGTATATTATTACTAATCCTAAATAAGCATTTTATTTGTATCATTATTGTTATCATTATTATTACTAAATAGGCATATTATTATTATTGCATTATTTTTATTATTATTGTTATTATGATTATTATTATGATTATTATTATTAATATTAGTAATATGAATAATAATTATTATTATTATTATTAAATTAAGAGTTCCATTATTTTTCTTTTATAAGTAATTTTTTATTATCATTAGTATTATTATTTTATTATTATTATCATTATTATTAGACAAGCATTTTACTATTATTATTGATTATTATTTATTGCATTATTATAATTATTATTATTATTATTTCATTATTAATAATAATAATAATAATATTAAATAAATAAAATTAAGAATGTCATTATTTTTATATAAGCAATTTCTTATTATCATTAATATAATTGTATTATTATTATTTATAAATAATCATATTTTTTTAACAATGCATATTCAAAAAATGTCAGCACTAATGTATTTAATGTCCCTATAATGCCCTTTGCTATTTTTTGTATAACCCATGGGGCCCATGCCGACACCAATTTGTGCTTCCCTATTGCCCTGTTATTGCAATGATTTCTAGCAGTCTCATGTAATATGTTTCCAGTTTCCTGAAGCATGCCCCATTCTCCAACTACTATAGTGTATTCACAGTCTCTGACCATCTCCTGTACTATGTCCGCAGTCTCTGACCATCTCCTGTACTATGTCCACAGTCTCTGGTCATCTCCTGTACTGTGTCCGCAGTCTCTGACCATCTCCTGTATCATGTCCGCAGTCTCTGACCATCTCCTGTATCATGTCCGCAGTCTCTGACCATCTCCTGTACTGTGTCCGCAGTCTCTGACCATCTCCTGTATCATGTCCGCAGTCTCTGACCATCTCCTGTACTATGTATGCAGTCTCTGACCATCTCCTGTATCGTGTCCGCAGTCTCTGACCATCTCCTGTACTGTGTCTGCAGTCTCTGACCATCTCCTGTACTGTGTCTGCAGTCTCTGACCATCTCCTGTATCATGTCCGCAGTCTCTGACCATCTCCTGTATCATGTCCGCAGTCTCTGACCATCTCCTGTACTGTACTCCGCAGTCTCTGACCATCTCCTGTACTGAGTCTGCAGTCTCTGACCATCTCCTGTATCATGTCCGCAGTCTCTGACCATCTCCTGTATCATGTCCGCAGTCTCTGACCATCTCCTGTACTGTGTCTGCAGTCTCTGACCATCTCCTGTATCATGTCCGCAGTCTCTGACCATCTCCTGTATCATGTCCGCAGTCTCTGACCATCTCCTGTACTATGTCTGCAGTCTCTGACCATCTCTTGTACTATGTCCGCAGTCTCTGACCATCTCCTGTACTATGTCCGCAGTCTCTGACCATCTCCTGTATCATGTCTGCAGTCTCTGACCATCTCCTGTACTATGTCTGCAGTCTCTGACCATCTCCTGTATCGTGTCTGCAGTCTCTGACCATCTCCTGTACTGTGTCCGCAGTCTCTGACCATCTCCTGTACTATGTCCGCAGTCTCTGATCATCTCCTGTGCCATGTACGCAGTCTCTGACCATCTCCTGTACCATGTCCGCAGTCTCTGACCATCTCCTGTACCATGTCCGCAGTCTCTGACCATCTCCTGTACCATGTCCGCAGTCTCTGACCATCTCCTGTACCATGTCCGCAGTCTCTGACCATCTCCTGTACCATGTCCGCAGTCTCTGACCATCTCCTGTACCATGTCCGCAGTCTCTGACCATCTCCTGTACCATGTCCGCAGTCTCTGACCATCTCCTGTATCCTGTCTGCAGTCTCTGACCATCTCCTGTACTATGTCTGCAGTCTCTGACCATCTCCTGTATCATGTCCTGCAGTCTCTGACCATCTCCTGTATCATGTCTGCAGTCTCTGACCATCTCCTGTATCCTGTCTGCAGTCTCTGACCATCTCCTGTACTATGTCTGCAGTCTCTGACCATCTCCTGTACCATGTCTGCAGTCTCTGACCATCTCCTGTACCATGTCCGCAGTCTCTGGTCATCTCCTGTACTGTGTCCGCAGTCTCTGACCATCTCCTGTACCATGTCTGCAGTCTCTGACCATCTCCTGTGTCCTGTCTGCAGTCTCTGACCATCTCCTGTACTATGTCTGCAGTCTCTGACCATCTCCTGTATCATGTCTGCAGTCTCTGACCATCTCCTGTACCATGTCTGCAGTCTCTGACCATCTCCTGTATCCTGTCTGCAGTCTCTGACCATCTCCTGTACTATGTCTGCAGTCTCTGACCATCTCCTGTATCATGTCCGCAGTCTCTGACCATCTCCTGTACCATGTCCGCAGTCCTCTGACCATCTCCTGTACCATGTCCGCAGTCTCTGACCATCTCCTGTACCATGTCCGCAGTCTCTGACCATCTCCTGTACCATGTCCGCAGTCTCTGACCATCTCCTGTATCATGTCTGCAGTCTCTGACCATCTCCTGTATCATGTCTGCAGTCTCTGACCATCTCCTGTACTATGTCCGCAGTCTCTGACCATCTCCTGTATCATGTCTGCAGTCTCTGACCAATCTCCTGTATCATGTCTGCAGTCTCTGACCATCTCCTGTATCATGTCTGCAGTCTCTGACCATCTCCTGTATCATGTCTGCAGTCTCTGACCATCTCCTGTACTATGTCCGCAGTCTCTGACCATCTCCTGTATCATGTCTGCAGTCTCTGACCATCTCCTGTAGGGGTCACAAGTATTTTTTTACACAAAGGGGACAAAAGCATTTTTTTACACAAAGGGGGAAAAGGATTTTTACACAGAGGCACAAACATTTTTTACAGAGGCACAAGCATTTTTTTTTTTACGCAAAGGGAACACAAGCATTTTTTACACAGAGGCACAAGCATTTTTTTTACACAAAGGGGGTCCAAACATTTCTTTACATAAAGGGGGCACAATCATTTTTTTACATAAAGGGGGCACAATCATTTTTTTGCACAAAGGGGGCACAAGCATTTTATTTTTTTTTACATAAAGGGGGCACAAACATTTTTTTACATAAAGGGGGCACAATCATTTTTTTTTACATAAAGGGGGCACAATCATTTTTTTTTTTACATAAAGGGGGCACAATCATTTTTTTACATAAAGGGGGCACAAAAACATTTTTTTTACATAAAGGGGACACAAGCATTTTT